TAAGATGGATGGATCAACTGAAGTGTCATCTCTGAGATTCTTGGTCAGGTATTTGCTCTATTTATTTTCCTGTTTCAATTTTTCATAGCTTCCACTAAAGAAATGCAGCCGACTGCAGTAACAAGGTGCCTAAAGATAAACTGAATATCAGTTATTTGCTGGTTATAAACACTGGTTCTTCCCTTGAATTAGATTCATTTTTCATCCTTGTATGATTCATAGGTCAGTATTAAATGGTTCAGCAAACAAAAACAAACAAAAGTTCCTCGGAAAATGTCAGGTACCAGGACTGGACTGTTAATGAGTGCGAAAAGGAGATTTATATGTCTATATGTCTGAAATGTTTTATACTGTGATGGTCAACATGGGGGCATGTTGCTAAATTGGTATTTAGCTCAAATCCTTACAGTGGATAAATTCACCCATGAAGCTGCCAGCATGGCTGACAATGCCAGGAGGAGCACGACAGCTGATCTGACCATTAATCATGATCTCTGTCTCTTTTTTGTTTCATTTTCCAAGGAATGACCGTAAGACCAGGACCAGAGATGCCTGCGTCTTTGCCAGACAGAAACAGAATCCAACAAATCCACATTCCTATCATCATCGACCCTGTGCAGACCAACCCCAGAACACCATACAGCCCAGGCCAACCAGTGCAGCCAAACACACACAGAAAAAACATCAGCCCGCCAAGACAGCCTTTCAGTCCTCGGCAACCAGGTGTGCCGACTGTGCCCGAGATTTCTGTGGTGGAGATGGGAGAGGCAGGACCTCCAGGATACAGCCGCAGGGTGACTGTGCGAAGAGGGTCTGAGGACTCTTCCAGAGACCGTGTTAAAGGGTTTGCAGGAGCACCAGGCGAGTAGTCTTAAGGTCCATGATGACCTCTGGTATCGTCTTAAGCATACAGCTGAAAATCCACTATGAAGGTGCAGGCCTTATTTTATGATGTGTATGAAAATCTGCAATCTAATTAAGTCTAACTCAAGGCCTCTCGAATTTACGGCACAAAACTAATTCAGTTGTATCTGAAATACAAATCCAACTCTAAAATTCTAAGGGCAAAAAATCATGCTGTTTTTGTTGCTTCTGCTACATGCAAGGTAACAGACCCAACAAAGGTGCATCACTCCCACATCACTATTTGAAACATGAAGGATTGCTGCAGTCAAGGGACCTTTTTTAATCAAAAGCACAATATTTTCCTAACCCTGGCCAAGTGTGTTGAAATGCTGGGCCAGGGTTAGGAAGTCAAAAAAATGCAGCAACAGCAAGTAGAAAAAAGCAAAGCCAAGTGAAAAACACAAAGTAAACTCAAGTCTAAGTTGGAAACTTAGATGGATCTGTCCTGCTTTGTATCAATAGTTGAGGCTGGTGATGGTGTATTGACACACTTTGGACCCCTTACGACTTAATGAATATTATTTAAACACCACAACCTATCTGAATATTGTTGGCTCGAATCATCTCAAACGGGTTTTCTGAACCTGACAGTGACGTCACTGTACTCAGATCTCAATCCAATAAACCACCTTTGGGATGTAGTGGAATGGTAGCCAGCATATCTGCAGCAACTGTGTGATGCTGTCATGTATATATGAATCAAAATCTCTCAGGAATGTTTCCAGCACCTTGCTGAATCTGTGCCATGAAGAATTAATAATGCGTGGACAGTTGTTTGTCATCTATGTGAAGGTTTTCATTGGGTGCCAAACCAAATCAGAAGGAAGAGGACGCCGAACATAGATTTAGGCAGTTTGGGGTTTAATTATTTAAGCTGTATGTAGAAAGATTAAATAAAATATCAAACAAAACAAAGGCTTTGTTCTAGCCTCAATGCTTTTTGGCAGTAAAGGAATAGAGAACAGCCTACGTTAGTCATATTGTTACTGTTTACTGGTAGTGTGGGAGAATTAGCCAGGGAAATGCCAATTAGTCTTACCCCCCTTACTTGTAAAACAAAAAAACTTAAAATTCACCCACATCTTTGGGCTTTTGGATGGGATGTGAGATTTGTTTCAGCTTTTCAGTTCTTTATTGTTGCATATTTTTTCTTTACTGCCATCTGAATGCTTGTCATAGGTTGGTTTTTAATTCAATCTGTTTTTGGTTAATAATAAATACATTTAAATGTCAGTCTTTGTGGAAACTACGGATGCTTAAATCTGATTTTAGATGGCATTATCTTGAAACAGCTGGGAAAAACAATCTGCTTCCAAAAATCCACAATTACGAAGTCTAGAATTCTTGAAGTTTTGTTTTGATTTATACCTTCTCTTGGAATCTCTCACACAGTGTGCCATAAGATCCAGATGGAAAACCAAAGAACTGTATTTGGCAATACTACAGATTGACCCCGTCTCTTCAGATGACAATAAAACATAATATTTTTGTCATCTGTTTCTCTTGCAGGCTATCCTCCTCTGAAGCCTGTTTCTTTCATGCCTCAATCAGCCAGACGCCAAGGTATTTTACCAGTTCATTATCAAGTTACATCACATGCATCTGCAGGCTTCTTCTACTGTATCAATGTAAAAGAAGAAGCATTGGAAAAACTGTGAATAATTTCTAGTCGGGGAGTGCGAGGGAGTGGGAACTGGATGTGTTTCTTTAAGGGTGTGTGGGCAGATTGTGCAAGGATTTTAGTGCGTCTGCAAGCATTCACCAGAAAGTTTTGTATTTTCTTTATATATATGTACACGCACACCAATGACAGATTTATAAGTATAAAGATATAATAATAATAATACATGATGTATTACATATTATGTAATAATACATAATGAGTTAACATGTACTGTGTGTGCCTTGTAGCTCTTACAGCAGTAAAGGTGCCCTGGAACCCGGTTTATCGAGCTCCAGCTGATTCACCAGGTAAACCTGTCCATGTTTCAGCAAGGATTAAAGGCATTACAAAAAGAATTGAATTTATGATAGATACATATTACATACATATTGATTCTGATCAATTTAAATGCAGCAATCATGTATTCATTTATCCATCAGTTGAAACACTGATTGACGACATTCCTGTCTGTTTGCATCCAGTTTCAGTCGACAATAGCGCTTTGGCAGACACCTTCTCCTTCTCTGCCGGCCTCACTCAGCAACGTTTCTCTGGAGATTTTGGAATCATTCGCTTTAACAGAGTCCTAGTAAATGACGGAGGACATTACAATCCCACCACAGGTAGATCCACACATAAAAAAACAGATTCAGTATTAAAAGGATTGTAACATTTGCTGGTATCATTGTGATACGTTGATAATACGCAGATATGTCGTCTTTTTGCATAAAAATGTGCTGTTATTATGAGCCTGGGCACTTAGTTGTGCTTTGTACAAACAAACAAATAAATAAAACATTAGTTAGGGATTATTTTCAGTTGTGGATTAATACGAAATGTGTTCTCTCATGAGTATTTGAAGCAGGACTGTGAATATAAAGATGATTCAAAATAAACTGCAGGACCCGTGTTTGTTATAACTGAGGAATGACTCACCCAGCACAGCAGAGTGGCTAATTGATGTGTTTTTAATTCTTAATTGGGTAACAATGAAGTCCTGTGACACAGAGGAATTGGATAATTCAGGCTTTGGCTACAGAGCCAAAACTCATTAGGATCAATTCATTGCAGGTCCATGAATAGGGAAGAGACTTAGAAACCAAGAGAGTACTAATCAGTAACATTATTGACTGAACCCAGGCTGAATCATTCCTGTCCTCACCCTCAGGGATCTTTACTGTACCGCTGGATGGCCGATACCTGATTTCAGGTGTGCTGACCGCAAAGCAGGGCGATCGTGTAGAGGCCGTGCTGTCTGTGTCTAACCGCAGCGTACAGAGGCTACAGAGCTCAGGCCTGACTGGTGGTAATTGTGGCTGCGGGGGTACAGCATCCTTTAATGTAATCCTACCGCTGAGGAAAGGAGACCAAGTGGCTATGGTAAGAACCGAAGGTCAGCTGGCCACAACCGAAGCCAGGGAGATCCTGTCCACCTACAGCGGCACCTTTCTGTACCAGCCACAAGCCAAAAGATAGCTGGAGCTCAGGTGGAAAGTAACGACGAGGACTACTTTGTTCCCAGACATGTGGACTGGAGGAAATGTTGAAGTGTTGAAACCACATTTTTAAAACAAAAAAATTATTTGCTGTGATGCAGCTGTTTTACCTGTGTGAAGATCTTTAGTTATAAATTCAGTTAAAAAAGCTGTTATATGGAATTTTCCAAAGACACCGGATAACAAGAAGCAGGATTTGTATCTAATATATTTATCAAGATGAATGTTTGTACCACCTATTGTAAATGTCTTGTGTAAAAGTATAAATTAACACTTTTGTAAATTTTGTTTTAGCAGCAGCATTCAGAGACTTGGCGTACAGCATGGTCAACAATCATTGGAGCATATTTGTAGGTTAGCTGTAAATATGAACTAACGTCATCTTAAAAGTGCTCTGGGTGATTAGGAAATCTGCACAGAGAGATTAATGAGGAAAGGAAAGACTTAGCAACACAAGATTTTATTAATAGTACAAACTTGGCTGGCTTCTACTGAAAAATACATGGTTAGTGAGCCCCCTCCTTTTTTTTTTTTTTTTTGGTGATTATGTAAAGTGGGTGGGGATGATAAATAAATTCCCCCTTTCTCACTCCTGAGACTGACTAAAATTTTCCAGCATCAAACTGTAAGAAGTATTTAGCTTTCAGTTCAGCCTTTGTTAACCCTTAAAAAGGAAAAACTGATATTTTAATTAAAAGCTGAATAAATAAACACTCTGGATTACCATTTTGTATGATTCTTCTTATCTTTATATTATTTAATAAAACCAAGCAAAACCTCTAAAATGACATGAGGGACTTAACCTGCAGTACCCTCATTAGCGTACTGTTACTTCAAAGTACGCAATAGGGCAGGAGTTACTCCACTTGCCTCTGGTTACTGTTGAACTTTTGGACTCAGACTGCAGAAAAGAAAAATCACAGCACGCACATAACTGCATTCATTTAGAAATTTTATTTCATACAAACAAGACCATAAGCCACATGTTAGCTTCATTAGGCCTGATTTTTTTTTTTTTTTTTTACTTCTTCTTACAGTTGATTTTGTTCTTCAAACCACATTTCTATTCAAATGAAACACAGCATACATTTAATGCATTTTCTGCTGGTCGGACACAAATACCAAGCATTACATCCAAACAAAAACGGAACAAAACTTAAGTCACACAACAGCTCATACACGTTATAAGAAAAAAACAAAAAGGCATCAAAGAAGAATGTGATGGTCAGCATATATACTCATTCAAACGTTTATTTACCACATATCCCAGGATCAGAGAAGATGAAGTGTGATTCTTTCACACAAGATGCTTTACTTTCATAGAAAGAATGGAATTTCTTGTTGATTTTAAGATAGATCTATTTGACTTCACCACTTTGCAGAGAACAAGCAAACAAATCAAAGTGGGGCACACTGTATTCATCAAAACAAAAAAAAAAAAGAAAAAAAAAAGAAAAGAAATCAGCAGTGCATGTAGCTGTCACCATAAATTGTGCTTATTTTTATGAAATGATCTTGGCTGCTCCTGCTTTTTTTAGTCCACACTGGCATACACAGTCAGTTACACTTGCATTGGAGATATGATCCATCTGACCAAAACTCCTTTCCTAAATCATACATAGATAATGCCGGGGAAGTGCCTTAAACACTTCCTGTACAGTCAAGTATTTCCTGTTTATCTCCAAAAAACAGTTTATCCTCCTCTGGTCACCAGAGGCACGGGAATCAGGCTTTTCTGTCTCTCACGCTCTCAAGCACACACATTAAGGGGTAGCTCTGATATTACCTTGCTGCCTGTTACCCCAAATTATCATCATTTTCCTCTGCCTTAAAAAACATACACAAAAAAGCTACTTGAAACGAGCTAAGCTTCTCAAAACTCACTAATAGACAAATTTCAGATTAACTGAATAGTCAAGAAGGTAAAACTCAAACTCTTTATGCTCAAACGCTGCAGTAATTGCATACTCTGGTCTACTGTCTACTTAGACTGTCGGTGAAGTGCATGTGGGTGGGAGATGTGCTGAGTTGTAAGTCTTGAGTTTCTGGGTGCAACTTTGACAAAGTGCGCTGGATAAAGCCACCGAGGGAACCTAAGCAAAGGGTGCAGGATGCTGCCACCCCAACAGCAGCAGCACTCTGTGATTAGGTACACACACACTACCATCATCCTGCAGTCCATCCTACGGAGGACCTCACAAAGCAATATCCTTCATTTTAAGCTCTTCTCAAATCTGCTTATATCCACTGTTCCATCTCAAGCATCCTCTCTCACATTTACACACATCTGGTAATACTACAGACTCTGAGGTTTTGCTCAGGAATGTCTACGTGCCTTACATGTTGAAAAATTCACTGTTAATAAAAGAAATACAGGCTTGTTGCTGGAGACGTGACCAAAGAAAGCTTGTACAAGGCCTAGCAGTTACTGTTAAGTGCATGTTAGTCTGTGATCAGCCTCACAAAAATACTAATCTGAAATATTGCATTGGTGATCAATTATTTTTTCAGACAAGCAAAGGCCTCACAATAGAAATCAATAACTTAAATACATTGATCATCATAAATAATGACTCCATTGTTAACTAAACACATGTGATTTGCCAGAGCTTGCATAACAGAACAAACATTAAAACAACAGCAAGACAATACACCATGAAGCTGCTTCATTTTTTTTAAGTCACAGCAAACTGTGCATCCTCACATACTTGGTGAAAGCATATCCGAGGTACGACCTTGGATATTAACAGTACCAAACACGGCTCGCTGTGTAGCGGCCGTGTGAAATCTGTTGCACAGTCAGGCAAGAGTCAGGAACGAGAGGACAACTGAACACTTACTGTGGCGAGTTCCTGAAATCTAACGGCTGTGGACGGTTCTGTGTTTGTGTTATTCTGTTATTTGCCAACCTCTATCACGACTGTATTTTTAGAACAGAATAAAGCCTCCAATTAAAGGCTGGTTACTTGCTTCTGGGCAAACACAGCACCTACAGTAAAATATGACTGCCGCATAACAACTGCCCAGTGTTAATTGCCTGTCCTGTTTTAATTAAATGTGTGCCTTTTCCATTTAAAACATTACGTTTCACTTCTTCGGGGCGTTTCTTAAATTACTTCTGCTCAGCTCGGAATCTAGCTCCTCGTGAGGGACTTCTGCCTGCGTCGTTTATGGCTTTCTACAAGTTTACCGAGATACTAGCTGGATCTTCAACTGCCAAGTCTGTACAAGAACATGGACTAGAAAGTTATCACTGGGCAGGATGCCTTCACACAGAGGCATACGTGGAGTGTCTCCGTGGAATAAACGCTAAGTTATCACTCATCAGGATTTACTGTTCTGATAATCTCCACTCATCTCTCAAGTAAATACAGTTTACCAACTTTTCTGAGTTCATGGTTACTGTGTCTGTGTGTTGTGTAAGTCTAATTAGCAGGAACAGTTCTGGTTCCACTTCACATGTATTTAGGAGGTGCATTCAGGTGCACAGTTCATTTGAATGTTACTGTATAGCTGGGTATCAATACACACCGACTCAGAGCAGTTCATCTGGATTGATTTCTGGTATTGGCTGTCTCCAGTAACAGAAAGAGCTGTACTCTGGCATTAGAAAGGCCTCGTTCTGCTCTTTGCTTAGCAAAGGGAACACGTGCTCCACCAGCTCACTCAGTCTGCCATAGCTGCGAAGGGGGAAAAAACGAAACCAGAGAAACAGAGTGAGCAAGAGAACAGATACAATATATAAATCTTAAAAAATATATACACTCTAGGTATTTAGTGATAAACAAAAAATAAAGAAAAACAAATATTTAAAAAATGGATTTTAGATTTGAAATACGTTGAAATGTATTAATCAATCTAAATACAGAAAGAACAAAAAACACAGGCCACCTGAGGAAAACATTGCAGACTAGAATCAATTTTAAGGTGTGTTTCTGGCCAGCTCTCTTTTTATTTCTGTTTTGTTCTCCATCAGATCCTGTGGGAAATATCTGTCGCTTGAGCTGCTAAAAGCACCACTGTGTTCCCTAGTTTTTCTCTAATTTTGTCTGTTTTGCTTGCTGCAGGGTACAAAAGACTCTCTGTGACTGTAGGCTTTTATTCTTTTTACAGTAATGTGAGAGTGAAGGAAACAGTAATGGCTGGAAAAGCAAAACAAGAAAATAAAGAAAACAGAAAAACGTTCAATGATAGCAACGTCCTATACTTCCTGCTGGGGATTTTTGCTGCGAAAGACAAACACAGACCATTAATGTACTTACGAGGACTTGTTGCCCTTGGTCTGCTCCTGGATCAGCTCTCCCTTTGGGTTAACTGTGAAAATTCTGCACACTGGAACGCCAACTTCCTTATAGGCAAACACATCCTGTATGAAGACATAAAGATTAAAGGCTCAATCTTTCCTCTAAAATACGACTGCTTCAAAGTTTAAGTTACGTTTTTTAAATGTTTCCGTTTATAAGCATAGCACAAGCTTTTATTTTGAGTTGGGATTAATTACAAACACATAAACCCCATTTTGCTTCCTCTAAGACAAAGCATGCGAATGAACCTGTCATTTACGGGCTGAAAAATTACTGACAGGGCTGTTAACAGCCATCTGAGAACACTCTTGATTATGTAATGTTCGGAAAGTAGCCTCTCATACATAATACATAATAAACTGAAATGACCACGTTAATAACATTAACCACAGATTTCCTGTTTGTGTTCCACCTAATGCGTGTAATGGCAGTAAATTTCTGGAGTAAATGTTTTTGGTTGGCCAGAGGAAGAGTGAGTGTGTGTCTGTGTCTTATTTTATTGTTTAGGGAAGAGACCGAGGCAGACTGGGCTTTGATAGCTGACCCTTCATGTGACTGTTAGTGTTTATGCAGCTGAAGACGGGATGCTGTGCCCGACTTGAGCTCTCGTCCACAGATGAAGTCACTCGCGATCACACTCTGACAATGACCTCAGCTCAGGTTCAGCCCAGTACTTATTTCACACGTTCATGTCTGCTAACTCAAAGTGTCTGCCAAAGTGTCATGTTGCTCTTGCAATGAATTACAACTGCATCAACCTCTGAAAAGCGCACTTTTAAAAAAACAAAACAAACCAAAAAAACCCAAAAAAAACAAGCACTCTAATGTCTGGAAGTCTGACATCTTCAAACATGCATTAACTCACATTAGCTCTATTCCCAAAGGCGGCATAAAATGGCTGCTTGTTATGCTGGAACAGGTTCTTGATGTCTGTAAGGCATTCAATCTTGAAGATCTCTGGTTTCTTCTCGATGACCTCTCTGAAGCAAACAGACAGTTTTATTAGAGGGCATACACATCCTTCCCGTGTGTCCAGTTTGAGTTAGAGGTAATTTGATCAAACATATTTCGTTTATCTCAAACCCCTTTCTCCGACTGTTTTTAGATAAGAATTTGTTTATAAATGACTTTTGTCCTCTTTACAAATCGTGTAATAGCACGGCCTAAATCCAAATGCATTTCAGCAATTTCTGTTTAAAATTATGACTCAAAACAAATACACAGATGGTAGGGGTGTTTCTAATTTAAGCAAATTAAAACAAGAGGGACACATAAATAATGCAAATATCTACAAGTGTTTGCACCACAACTATCAGCAATGCTGCAGGTTGCTATGCTGAGACACTAGCCATTCTGAACAGGTTTCAAGGTCACACAAAAACCCTGCTATGTGATTAACACACTGAATAAAAGAAATCAACATTTTCAAGGGAACCATTAACAACACAGGAAAGTTTTACTTGTTCTGTGAAAGTGAGAAAAGGATACTTGCTTTAGCTGTATTAACATTTGGATAATATCCGACCTACGAGGCATAACAAGCAAGTATCACAAGAGTATTTAATTGTTTAATTAACATTATATTAACACAGTCATAATTCACTGAAACCAGTGTTGCTGGGAAACATGTTTGATGGGAGAAATACCGAAAGGGGTCATTTTAAAATCATGTAACTGTTAAAATAAAATCACATCAGTTAGTTTGGAACTTTTTCTAAAGTCCTTTTATTCATCATACAGTGAATTTTGGGGTGTGTGGGATTAAATTATTGATTGATTTCCCCCCCCCCCCAATGTAAAACAACAATTGCAGCATGCCTGGTTGCTTAGCAGCACATCTTACATACTCAAACTTTAACATGAAGGCTACTGTATCATGAGTTAGCTAGAGGAGGCTGACAGATGAACATGTGTGGGAGACAGTAGGTGGATCTAATAGGTCATTCTGATGATGTTCTTCTACAATAATTAAAATATTAAGATGTGTTAGTAATTGTATTTTTGTTGTAGTCTTGCTTATTAGTAGACTCTGAAATATATTTTACCTTTACAACCAGGAAGGAAATAATTTCAATAATTTGTGAAACTCCTCTAAAACTGAACCTTAAATATTTATTTTGTCAAATATATTTAAATTTAGAAAAATGAGTCAAAAATAGACGTTCTGCTGCAAAATGTCTCAAATGATCCTACATTATCAAAAAAATATAGAAAGCTAGCAGCCTCCTTCTGGATCTCCTCACCACTTCAACAAAAGAATCATTCACACAAATCATGTCTCTAAAAATGCAAATGAGACTGTGACAGCAACGGGGAAATAAAGAGAATAGAATAATCCAAAACAGAGAAAATGCTGGCCATGAGCGTACTTTAGAGAAGTGACGGCACTAATACCAACACAGTTAATGCCTTTTAGATAGGAATTCGTGAACTTGAGTTTGCTGTAGACTTAATAACCATGGCATATGAAAGACTTTTTATAAAGAACGAGGCTCGGGAGAGTGGGGAGGATTTTGAGACTGAGAATAGGGTTTTTAAAGTGAAACTAACTTTGTAGAGAAAAAAAAGATTTAAGGGTGAAAAATATAGGGTGGTTTGAAAACAACATTAATATCTGGGGATAAGGAGGATTTAAATTAAATCATTTAATGTATATAATGAGCTTCATGATACCGAGACTGGTAACCATTTAGAGCTTATATTACCTGTGGAAAGCAGAGAAGAGGCTGCTGGGAGAGAGCATGAGAGGTCCTCGGGGTAGGATGGTGCCTCCATCATTGACCCACTGTAAGTAACCTCTTGTCATGTCCGCCATGCCGATTGCCCGGGCTGAGCAGTACAAGAACTTGTAGCCATTTCTGCGAATGGGAAGAGCAGTGCTCATTAATAATTGTTCATTATCATGACCTTAATGGCAACTACTAAGATTAGCACTTAAATTGGATGAGTTATATTGATTGCGCTCATAATGTGGAGAAGTCACAACAATTCAATTAAAAAAAAAGAAAATCTTGCAGAGGAAACTTTTTATTTACTACCAAAACCAATACCCAGACTCACTACAGCTGACTTCATTCATGCAATACATTTTCTATTTTTTCAGATTTAAGTATAAAAATAAAACCAGAAAAGGAAAGGGCTGGTTTAATGGTGTTTTTACTTTCTGCAATAATTCTGCCTAAACTACAGTTAAACTTACTGAGTCATCCACCTCAGAGCTCCCCACGCAAACACTGGGAGGAAATATCAACTCCACAAAGAGCCGATTGGGAATCAACCCCAGACAGTCCTAACCACTGACCAACCATTCATGCGTCTTCCATAATTAATCAGTGTTGCTGTGCACTTACTCAGCTACAGAGTGGTAGAGCTTGGCAATCCCCTGGTGGGTCCAGTCCTTCCCCAACTGTGGAAGTATCTGTCCAAATACATCTGACCTAAAACATTTAAACACATACAAAAATATCAATATCACTGACTATAAGATAGAAATAAATCAATCAGCCACATCAAGTAGAGAAAGAGAAAGCAGAGTACTGACTGTTCAAAAGAGGTCACATAAAGCACGATAACACCGTTTTATCATAAATATAGAACATTATGGGCTGTTCTCCACTAACGAGCATTACTGGCCTATAGGGGAGACACAGTCTCACCCTCAGCTGGCTGTGTGTCCTTACAGACTGAAATGTAAATGTCCTCATTATAGTCCCTGTGCTCTTTACCCTGTTAGCCAAAGAAAGCAGCATGTCAGGGGTTGGCCTAAAGGGTCACAGAGATAATAAGCTGCAGTCAATTTGGAGCCGTTTGATGTCGACCACCAATGAACTTCAGGGTGGGCGTCAGGAAGGCAGCAGGCATCAGTTTTGTTTCAGAAGAGATATGACTAGCTTTAAAGTAATTAACAGAGCGTGAAACAAATAGAACTGGATTACAGGCTTCATACATGCCATTTGTGAAGGACTTAAATGTGTCCATGGTAGTGAAGCTACTCTGAGCTGGAATCTTATTTTAAGCTTTTGTTCCTTTTTAAATTAACCGAACAATATTATGCAACAATTTAATCTTGTGTTCATTTACCTGCTCCCCACCTTATTTGGTGGATAATAAATAAGGAGCTGTATTTAAAGTATGCAGGCAGTTTATAGAAACACTTGAACACTGCACTATAGATTCCATCTTGGTAGCATAATAATTAGTTTTAGTGCAAAAATGGATGTTTCCATGGCAAGTTTGCAACAGATGGCTTTAAGTGTTTTAACTATAAAATTAGATCCACATTTTATTACAAGAACTGAAACAGGATGCAACAAAAGATCTATCTAAATGTTGCTTCACTGATTGCTTCCCACCTATATGTTAAAATCAATATTTGTACACATTATTTTTAATTGTCATTAAAGGATGCAACTAAGGTAGAGCACCCAAGGGAAATTCCTTCTAATAATGTTTTCTTATTACTGTATATATGTACAGGAAAATGTAATTGGATGCTACAATAACTGACTGATTTACTGCCCTGTCTATTACTGTCCATAATTAACATAGCAGCTAGCTTGCTATTACAACTGTGTTCTGTAATATGATTTTCTGAGTGACTGGAAGGCCATACTTTGTGATGGTGCCATCAATGTCAGAGATAATGACTTTGTCGTCCCAGTTCCACAGGTAGATTGTACCCTCACAGCGGCATGTGCCTTGGTATTGAGTGGTGATGCTAAATGTCACATCATTTGGCCCCTGCTTGAGTTTCAGACTAGCCTGGAAAAACAAACAAAAAAATGAGATATATATATATTTTTTTTTTTTTCTCAACAGCACACGCATTACTCTCTGGCATCATTTTGTTGCCACAGTACAATGACCATCTACAGATCTTTAGAGCCCCCTACAGACTACAAATGGAGCAAACACTAGTTGCAGTTCATAGTTAGCCAGCAGAGGGAGCACAAAACAGCCAAATAAAAACACTTGAGACACAAATCTCATTAAGAACTCAGCAAAAAAATAAGCTGATCTTCTGACAATCAGACACTTTTATATTTCAAATTAAATAATATTTTATGACATTTATAACTAATCCAGAGAAAGCTTTGTCAATGTGAGAAAGGAAAAGGTGTAAAATGAACTTACAATCTGATCAGAGGAAAGCCGCAGTGACTTTCTGTATGTGTGTGGGCTGGGATGGTGCTGACCATCCACTGGCTGCAGTCTCTCTTGACAGGATGCTGCGCTCACCTCCTTGGACTCTTCATCACTGGATGAGTCTCTTGCTTTAGGCCTACAGTACAATAACCACAGATATGGTAGTCAATTATCACAGACAAGTGGAAAAACATGTGAAACACATGAAAGATTCGACCTGAAGATCCTTAGATGGTAAATGGTAAATGGTCTGTATTTGTATAGTGCTTTACTTGGTCCTAAGGACCCCAAAGCGCTTTACACTATACACAATCATCCACCCATTCACACACACATTCCTACATGTAGCCACAGTCGCCCTGGGGCACACTGACAGAGGCGAGGCTGCCGGACACTGGCGCCACCGGGCCCTCTGACCACCACCAGTAGGCAACGGGTGAAGTGTCTTGCCCAAGGACACAACGACCGAGACTGTCGGAGATGTATAAATAAATTCAATGTTATCTTAGTTACATTATTAATATTCTTCCTCATTAAACCAAAATATAAGCTCCTCCCTATGTATAATAATAATATAGTTTTTGATTTTCTGGTATCACATACGTTAAGGCCAGCTTCTCCTGAGATGTGGAGGGTCCTTCCTCTCCCGAATGTGGTTCCTCCTTAGTTTCGAGCTTAGTCTCCGACTGGACAAAGTAGGCAGAAAAATAAAATTCCCAATTAGCCAAGTTTAAAAAATATCTATATGAAAACAGGACACTGCCCATGAAGAGGGAACAGAAACTAACTGCAGATACCACCTCAAATTTTGTTTTGTTCACTTGTACTAACAACATGCACACCTGCTTGATTGTGCTATCCGCCCTCTTACGCCAGAACCACCAGCGGCCTGACTTCTTTGGCATTTTCTCCTTCACCCAGGCCTCCTCTGTAGCCTGCCATAAAAAGGAAAACAAATACATTTAATGATGAGATAGCTGCCAGCTGACAATGAGTGAATGAACAGTACAAAGAGTAAAGAATTAAACACACGTTACCTTTGGTAAATTCTTCTGAAATGCTTGAAGGCTTAGAATCAAAGGTGCAGCTAGGGTCCAGTTATAATATCTGAAGACAAAGACAATTACCAATGTGTAATCCTGACCATACGTTTGAAATGTTTCTCTAGTGCATTTCCAATGTGAAGTAAAAGCAGTTACATACCTATTTCCTATCCTTACTACCAGGTTGGGGTTGTCTATAATTGCTGGATTTTCAGCAAATTCATGATAGGTAATGATATGCTCCATAAACCTTTCTGGAAATGAACAGGGGAGAAGAAGACTAATTAAAGACAGCTGATGAAAAGGTCAGTGGTGGTGAGAAATAACATCTTAGTAGACATAAAGGTCAGGAAACTTTTTCTTCTGATAACCCCAGAGAGCCTCTAAAGCCTAAATCCCAAAGGATTAATATAACCTAGAGACCTCTAACAGTTTGTAATGACTGCAGAGGTAGTCTGTGATCATCGTTTGTAATGCAATAAATGCAGAGCAAATTAACAACAAGATTTAACCAAATATGGACATCCTGTTATGATATTAGTCCAGAGGAAATGAGCATGTTCTTGCTTTTTTGTTCTTTTTTCCCCTTAAAGAATTATGTTGTTATCTTTAAAATGAATGAGAGAAATGGCAGGACTCTCATATTTAAAAAAAAAAAAAAAAAACGTGCATAAAAATAGCATAAGATAGAAGCATGTTGACTCGGATGACCAACGTTTTTTCTGCTGTTTAACAAGGTTATGACATCATATTCAGAGATGAAGACACATTTCCTGAAGAGTTAAAGTACATGTTCATTTGATGAGAGGGAAAGTACTTCTGGGTACGACATTTACACATCTGAACAAATATGTATCTGAGAACAGCTTCCTCTAACAGTAGCTGGACACTTTATGTGGCTAATCCAGAAGGTGCAACAAAGTTAGCTGAATGTTTACTGGCTTAAGACAAAAATGTTCACTTTATGATACATTTTGTTGTGAGTGTCATGCTCGTGTACCTTTGGATATTTCAGCATTTTCTGTCAGGCCTCCACACAGAGAAAGAGTAACATCAGGGAGGTCACTAGTTGAGTCAGAGAGACACTCTGTCCCGCTGTCAGCTGCAGCACTACCCACCGACTGTGGGGACTGTGAACCAGAGTGCATCTCAGAGTCAATCCAGTGCTTAGCAGCTGCCTCAGTCTCACTGGAGAAAAGAGAAGGAGAAGAAAAGGGTTACAACATGTCATGATACTGGTCTTTCAGGCTGTCAGTGATACTTCAGAGGAGAAATCGCTTTGGCTTTTATTTTATAATTACAAAGGTTAAGTAATTAGGCAGATCTTTAACCATCATACCTCTTAGGAAAATATCGTGCAGCAACATCAGGTTCAAGTACATTCAAGTCATCTAAGTAGATATCCTCAGGACCCTGATGCTGGCTCCTCTTCGGAACACCTACATACAATATATTTACAAATTACAAACTCATAACCAAGACAAGCCTTAAAAAAAGCACCAATCTGCAGCCACCTAACATACCTTTCTTCTTTGATGGTGAATCTGTCTGCTGGTTACTGGAAGAGGTGGAGGTTGCTATGCTTGATTGCAGGATATCAAGGGGTTCTGTAGGGGCTTCCGGACTAACAGATGATATGGTGCTACCAGACGATATTGGAATCACAGGTGTTACAGTGGTGACGGGGGTGCGTGGCTCGGGCTTGACAATGTTACACACTGAAGAGGAGGTGGCATCGCCTTTTTCAACCTCGGTCTCATTCTCCATGGCCTCCGAGCTGAGGATGACACGGAAATGGGTGCTCTCTGATGGGGTGATGGTCACTTTTTTCAGTGGTTCTGATTTCTCCTTCTTGGTGACCTAAAAAAATTGGACGTAATGTTATTGTGATGATGAGTCAACTGGCAATGGTTTGAACTCCACTGGGAAGAAGTGCTTACCCTTGTGGTTTCTGGAAATTCTCCCCATGTCCACTGCATGTGAGACTCAGCTCTGAGCAAACTCTCTGAAGGCCTCATCACCAGTTCTGAGTCACTCTTTGGGGTAAAGGCCTGAGACAAGCTATGGCTGCAGGGGTGTAAAAAGAAATGCCAAGTATTAGTAAAACAGGTGCTACTTACACGTCTGTGCTATCTTTGCTAACAACTTTCGGTTCATGTCAGCACATACCCATCACCAGCTGGCCAGTCCCCATCAGACATTGGATAACCATCAAGGCTGTGTCTGGCTGCGGGTAATTTAGGGTCAATGTCACGCACTGTAGTCACTGAAGGTGATCTAAATTCAGAGTGCAGAAGAAGCATAATAATTAACTGATCTCTTCACACAAATCTGGCTAGAAGCGTTGAATAAACATACCTTGATACATGAACTGTAGTTTCCTCGTCAGAGCTGAGATCCATTTCAAAGATCTCCTCATTTTGCCCAGTACTAGACATAGCAGCAGTGGTAGCAGCGGGTGCATTAGCAGCAACAGCATTACCAGTAGTGACTGACGGTGGGGTCAGTTCCTCTCTACGGGGGTCTCCTTTGTGCTTCTTTCTCCGTCTTTTCTTCTTTTTTGTGGCCACAGTGCTTGGAGCAGGAGGTTCAGGAGGGTCCTCTGGGTCGGCAGGGTCATCTTCCAGATCTTTTGGTGCCCTGTGCTCCACCTCTGAGATCCAGAACAGGTGACTCTCGGTGGGGATTGGGGAGGTGGCCAAATGGGCAGGAACAATCTGCTGAAATAGGAAAGCAGGACATGAGGATTAAGATATGTTTAAACAAGGATAATCGTAGTTTGAAACACAATATTGACTAAGGTCCTGCAGAATAAGGTAGAAGTCACTGCTGAGATGTCACAATAGCAGCCTGAGCAAAGGTTAACTATGCAATATGGTGGAGTAATCACTTCTTCCTACAAACACTGCCCTACATTTCTACTTCAAGAATGCTGTTAAGCAAAGGCAAGACTGTTGTTGTGTTGGGTCAACGAAAGCAAAGTGAAAGATGTTTTGAAAACATGTCTGAAGTTTCATTGCTTTTTTTCCAACATGAAATATTTCATGACTTTGCTACATTAAAACTCAAAACAAGACTGCACAAAAAGGAGAATGAACAAATTATATATCTGGAAAAATGTCTCAATGAAACTTTGTGTCATTAGCCTTTAGCAGTTTTGTTACTTTATTTATTTATTTTAATTATGCTTATGGCTTACATTCTGTTGCTCAGCTTCCTGCACAAAAAAGGCCTCTCCATTGTCACCAAGCTTCATATGCAGGTCTACAGGCTCTCCATTCACTTCGATGTCGATCTGGAAAGAAGACACATAATTCCCTTTCAAACATGTGCTCCTCTCTTATTAGTCTGACATCTTCTGAACAATTTGTCACTTTTATCTGAATGAGCTTCCTGCTCACTTTCCTATAAAAGTCACGAGTAACAATTGTGCTTTACTTTTAACACGGCAAAAGCTTCAACAGCATGAAGGCACATTAACTGACAGACATGTACAAGACCATGGCTTACTGACTTAAGACACTCTCTCATGCTTTTGACATTGTCATCTCACTATCTCAGTGTGGCTTTTGAATATGCCCACAGATTGTAACAGAGAGAGCGAGTTAATCAGTCTTCATGAAGATTATGTGATAAACATTAACATAAAGTGACCGGTGTCTAAATGCCAACACTTTAACAGACTGAAGAAGCCAGCAATGTTAAGTATGCAATTTTTGAAGAGGGCTGTATTGGCACTGCTGTTCAAATGTAAAAACTGCCAATGCAATAGTACAGAACAGAAAATAAAATAGGACACTGACACTGAAAACAGTTATTCATTGACGTCAATCACCCTGTGTATCAACCAATCAATAAAAATCTTACATTACCCTTTTTAGTTGACTTTTAAAAAAAAATTTTAAAAAAACCCCATCACACTGGTTGTTTTATTATACTTCCATTATTTTGCAAGATCACATACATGGTCTGTATGCACTCAGAGACCCATCTTCCTCCAGAGGCTTTAGAAAACCTAATAAGCGTATGGGTCTTCTGGGCTTGCTTTCTGTGGAGCCTGCCAACAGAACAAGGCCATTCATGTTTGCCAGATAAACCCCAGTGGACCAGGGGGCCATTCAGAAATTTGACACCGAAAACAAAAAACAAAACAAAAAAGAAAAAACAGGTCACGTCTGGCAGAGACTACAGGAGGAGACAGACTCTGACTCACAAGTGCTCTGCAACTTGAAACCAAATCATCAATATTAATTTACAACCAATGGCTGTAGAAATAATCAGTTTTTCTCCCTCTTGTGCTATCTGTCTGGTTGTACATTTGATGCTGTCCTTTACTGTTGCTGTGGGTTCTCTACAGCCTCAAGATTTAATTTCACCCCTTCAGGGGTGCTGGAGGAAATTTATGTGTGGTAGTGGCTGGTAATTTCAATGCCCAATTAATAATGAGCTAGAATAAATGAGGGTCCTCTTCAGCTGTTCACAGTGTGTGACAGGTTACATGCACTTGAATAGCTGAGATGTGGATTTGCCAACACTGTGCTCCATCACTGGAATGATTGCGAGGCACGGCCACTTACAAATGCTTGAATTAAGGCAGGATATTAAGATGTTTTGGGGTTTGTTTGTTTTTTTTGCTTTGTTAAACACAAGTCTATTTCACTCTTGACGTTCACTTTTCAGATTAGAAGAACAGGAAAATAATATGTGTAAGTGCACTTAATTAACATCTCTAATGTTTTTAGAAACCACATAGTACTTGAAAAACTTTTCTGGTTGCCAACCAAAGTGACTGATGTACGGGAACAGACACACTATCAGCAGCCAAATTTTAATTAGTATTTGGCAAACAGTTATAGCTGAATTCCCACTCATAATTCTCTAAAATATCTGTATGTCAGTACCAAATACCACACAATTTATTGCATTTATCGCAAAAGCACAAGGCGCTAATAACTGATCTCAGGGACAGACATAACTGTTTGTTACACAACAGCCCCTGTTCAGGCCTCCTTCACGTTTCCTCCCTCTCCCACACATAGAAGTTGTAAAGCTGCTGTTGCCATAGAAACCACTCATTCATTCCTCCCCTTTAAGCCCATCGGGATTCTGGGTAGGTGGTGAGACGGTGTCAGTTCCCCCCGCAAATCATTATCCACTCCGGTTCACCAGCAAGTAAATAAGCTCTCTAAGCTAGTGCACAACATAACCATACTAAGAAGTACAGCTGCAGCTATCGATTATTTTAGTAATCGAGTCATCTATCAATTATTCCATCGAGTAACTGATTAGAAATACCTTTGTCTTATTATCGAGATATATTCAAAAGTGAAAAATAAATAAGAGAAAAAAATCTAATTGGTTTCCAGTTTGTTTGATTTTTGTTTCATCTGGCATCTGCTTCATTTGTCAAAAAAAACAAAAACAAAATTTAATATGACTCCTAAATACAAAGGATTTGTTTTTGTTTTTCAAATAATACATTTTCTTAAATGCAAAAATATTTAAATACTCAAATAAGAGGCATAAAACTAAGGATTTTAAAAAACTATATCTTTAGTCTGTCTTCTTGGAATGCTTTATGAGTTTTTGTACATGTTTCTGCGTGTTTAAGTCTGCAAGTTAATGAGTAAGTTTGTGTCTGCAAGCCTTTAAAGGAGAATGTGGTGGCTGTAATGAAGAGAAGCGAGTATATCAGCATTCTGAAGTTTGACCAGTGTGTTGATGCAAAGTTTTTGTGTTGCTGAAAATAAGATGATGGTGATGGTGCAGACATTAATGATATTAACGATGATCCACCGTTTTTAAATATTACTGCAATTCATTGAGACACTATTTTATATGTATTCACTTGTGAATAAATGTTATAAAAATCTTGAAATAAACGTGGTTTAGTACACACCATGCCCCCCCTTTATACTCTCTCCTGTTCGCTTCCATGTAAAAACATGGAAGCGAACATGTAAAACATGGAAGCCCTTAGTCTTCAGCAAGATATATAATTGAACTATTCTGGAATCAGACTACGTTAACAGTTCCTCTGCATTTTTTTAATGTAGCCTTACTTCTGGAAACCTACTGCAGATTTTTCATTGCGTGAAACAAACGACGGTCGATGGAGTTGCTACAAAGTTTGCTTTTCTTCATATCAAGAGTTTGTTGATCAGATGCTTTGTGAATGACCCCCCCCCCCCCTCTAGTTTTTTCCCCAGGAAAGGCATTAATGTTGATCTCAGGAATATCACTGCTGTTTATGATTTTCTTTTTCTCAACAGAGCTCACGTCTCGTTAATAGCTCCGCCTCTTTGCTCTTTGCCGTGTGTAAAAAGACTCCTAGTTTAACTATCCCAGCTTCATCATCACTAGTGTTGTGTTATCAGTGTATACAGGCTTAACTTCCTTAAACTTTTTTTATTCACACGCTGCTCATAAATACGTTTGTATTACACGAATGTTTTCAGTCGTAAATGTGGGTGGACCGCTCGGGTTTGCGTTTCCATGGTAACAATGGCGCACTACAATCATCGAAGCAAAGAATTTGTATTGAGACTTTTTTTATAATCTGATTATTTGTAATACTCAATACCAGTCCTACTAAAAATAGATGCTAAGACAAGTTCACCATTCTTACTTGTGTTATGGAACAAACACTTAAAATAAATACATCATATATTCCATCCATTACCAATTTCTTGCTGAATACCAACATTTTTTTAAACTTAATATAACCCTATAAACTGAAAAAACCTCAATAACATAGACATAACAGTGAGCCATAGCATTTGCATCTACATCTCCCTACTACAATACACTAATACACTCAACCTACTCTCCCTGCTATAAGGCCAATGTAGAGGTGCTACAAAAAGTGAGAAGTGGACTCAAGTGCTCATCATCCATGATTAATTGGATCGGGTCTCCCAGGCAAGATGATATAGTAACAAATACCATCAATGAGGGAGAACAGCCCAGAGCATCCCGTCTATGTTGAGCAAACATAAAAGATTTCCCTGAATGATTCATAGCCTGTGATTTCGATGCTCAGTATTTGTTAATTACCCACACTGGGATTGGAGAGTCATATGCTTTTTTTGATCCCAGTGTGGAGGAGCTTTGTTCAGGGGAGGACATTATGACTGTGTCCTGGGGGAGATGTCCTTAACGCCATTTTGCGCATGATGGAATTGATATGAAACGCATTCCATCGATTAAATAGGTTGGCATCTTTTCATTCGCACTTTTAATTGAATTAAATATAGTTACATTTTTTAAGCCTTTGCATTGAACTTCCACATTAGCAAAACCTCATTGATCAGTTTGAAAAATGAATATTATAATCAGGAGCAGAGAACATTTTTAATATCCAATGTTAATCCAATGTTAAAACTTGGTACATATATTACCCACAATGCAACTCAACCACCAACAGTTCAGTCAAGTGATTTGGGCGTGTTGTGGGGAAACAAAACACAAAAACTTGGTGATATAGAAACATGCTTTCAGACCAATTTTTGATATTTGATGTTTGACACGTCTTTATATGAATCTATCTATATAAATATATGAGCTTTGTATATGAATCGATGTAAGCTTAATGCTTTGACACATCAGTGAAAGAAAAAAAAACAAAAAAAAAACTCACCACTTTCTCTTTGGAGCGCAGCACGCCCAGCTTACCAAAGCGCACATGGAATGGCGAGCACTGGTAAGTGCCATCTCTCTGACGGACAACCACAACATCGATGCAGCCTGACAATGTGGCCTGGTTAATGCCCTTATACAGTTCTTTGACAGTCACCAGAACCTGACCTGCTAGCTGGCCAACGTAGTTCATGGTGTCCGCCTGTACAGAGAAAAACAAAAACAAAAACAAAAAAACTAATATTAACAGAGTAAATGGAAAGACAAGCTAAAAGCATTGTTATTCAGCAAGAGTCCAGAAGACACAACCACTTATGAAATCTACAAATATTCCACTTGAAAGCTCCCTCCCTTCCTGCTTACCCTGTGGTGTCTGTTTATCTCCTGACCTCCATACAGACTGCTAGAGTTATACTGTTGTCCTATAACTGGCCATTGTCCCACGTGAACAACATTAGACAGAGGAAGGCTGCTATGGAAGCAGTTGACTTCCTGTTTACATCCATTAAACACTACTGTCAAAATCAAATCATAAACTAAAACCACATTTCTGTGGCTTTAATATGAGCAGGATTAATGCTGTACATTTTGTCATAATGCTTTTAATCATCTGGAATAAGCAATTTGCAGGACTGTAAATTCCTTAACAAGCAAAGTGCTCAGTTTACTTGACCAAAGAAAAAGTACACAGGGCAGGGCTATCGTTGCATAATTACAAAAACTTTCCTTGGTGCACTATGGCCTCTTTACTGAACTAGATTATTTGTCCTCGATTGTCCTCTGCGACACAGAGTGTGTGTAACGATTAACTTAAACATGACTTTGGTTTGCCTGGGTCAGGGTCTAGTTTACTGGGGCCTGTAAACACATTGCCTCACTGACTTCATTGGGTTTACATAACCTGACATGTTCTGTCTTACACTAACCTTTTGTTCTGAATCTAGTCATGAGAGCAGTGATGGAGGGTGTGGAGGGGGGTAAGGGGGTAGAGAATAGGGACATTTGTGCAAGGGTGGCATCATGGAATATGGCAAACAACTGTGGTATATTCATTCGGAGTAGGATGATGAGTAGAGAGTATATGCACAGAGTATTCACTTTAAACCATAATCAGACAGGCAAACAGGACACTTTAGCAGCTATCACAGCCACCACAAAGTTCAAAGAGCAGTAGAAAGTTCAGATCATTTGATACCAGAAGGAAGCCAAGAAACAGGAAGCTCCGCGTTCGCGTTTTCTCGAACTTCACCCCAAATTTGTACACAGTGACAATGTGAAAAACAGGTCAACTACACTCTGTTGGGATAATCGCATAAATATAGTAACAACCAGGGTTTACACACCTGACATATTTTCAGTACAGATTGTATGACTGAAGCGTTAGGTATGTGTTTATAATATGAAGGACCAGTGAACCTATATTTTTGTGTATGACACTTAACTCATTCACTGCAATTGACGTCTATAGCCGTCAATTGCAGTGAATGAGTCAATGGGTTTAACTCATTCACTGCCAATGGCTGGCAGTGAATGAGTTAAAAATACAATACACTTTAGCTCCAGCACTATCTTTCATAATACAGGTTAAAGGTACAAATGTGGTATGCCGATTTTTGTGTCTTTATCTACTTTCTCCATCTCTAGAAACTAAGAACTTTTACCAAAATAACACTTTAAAGAGATTTACAGTACTGTAGATATTTAACTTTCACTTTTATTTCGGTGTCAGAAAGTCAGAGTACACGTACACCGTGTCTATTGGACTGATGTAGGATTAACACTGAGCAAATTATCACGGGATCATTTGGAAAATGTGCGGCAAATGCTTCAACCTGCTTCTACACATTTATTTTTCCTTCTTTCAGGGTCAGCCCAGAAGTAGGGCAATGCAAAAGTAGACTACAGTCAGAAATTAAACAGGACGGCTCGGTATTTCAGATGACACATAATTAGCACAGGTGATGAAAGACTCATGAGCCAATCTGTACTATTTTGACTGGATCACAATCCTGTATTTGTCTCCCTCACTGCCCACTTCTTTTAACATCAAATTACAAATCAAGGCAATCATGTGTGAAACTATTAGGCTTAGTTACAGTAACAAGCCAACAAACCAAGCAACCTGACAAAACCAAACAATAGAAAATGACTAACTGCCTATTTGGCCCTCTAGTTTCAGGCCCAAGCTGTGACTAACCAGAAAACCTGTCAGTACTGACTCACCAGGAACCAAGATGACCTCTGAGAGGATGGCTCATCCTGTTCACTGTTGTCTGTGTTGTCTTCTGTGTGGCTTCCCAGGAGCTCCCTGTTCCCCCAAGATCTCTGTCTCTTCATCACCATTAACAGAGCGTCAGCTCCAGCCTTATCCACCTCAGGACTAGACTAGCACCAATGTTTTCCTCTCTCAGATTATGGTGATAATATCCCCCTGTCATCCTGAATCAAATCTCAAATAAGGTCCACCTAATCACCTTGCAATGACCTTCCCAGGAGTAAATACAGATACACTACCTGAAGCCAGCTGCGATTGTGTAATAGTAATAAAGATTGTCATTTTTCTTTTATTCTCTGCAGAATATGAACATATGCTTGTCCAGTCAGCTGACATGGCAGTAAGGGTTTAGCCAATGGGATGGCTTCTTTGGACTTGTGGTTTATAGCTGATAAGAGAATGCTAATTTCTGTGAACAGCTATGCAATGTTTTCCCCTGATAAGAGTAGGCAAAACCAAACAGCAATCCCCAGCAAGATGTTCTTTTACAGTCAGTCACGTATACCTGTCAGGTTCATTGCTGCAGGTGTTTGTTATTGTAGATGGCTCATCGAAAGTAGGACAGTAAGTACACTGGACTTCAATATGTTGATTTCTTTGTTGCCAGTTGTCACATGAGCTCAGAAAACAGATGGAATTTTTTTAAACAGCACCAATATCATAATTTTTGCACACTAAAACAAATAAATAAGTAATAAATCCGGTAGAGCGGTACACTGATGAGACTGTAGTTCAAGCCATGATGAACACGTTTTTATCATCAGGAGGTTCTCTCTAGTTTGGCTTCCAGCATTCGCCTGCCTGGTTTCGCTCCTAAAATGAGCATAAAGCATGAGGCTCTTCCAAAGAGGTCTCAGCCCCACTGTCCCATCTGCTAAGCTTTTTGTAAACATGACCAAAGAAAACACAGGCCCACTGAGTTGAGGGCTGTGGGCTCTTCCTCCCCCTGTGCTAGGATCTGTTCTGTGTTCAAGAATTTAACAACAGCCATGCGGAAAATAAATGAGTACTTTCTCTTAGTGATAAAACATGGAGAAAAATTATATGTGCCATTTAACAAATAAGAAATCTTTAAATTACAAACTCGAGCAATTAAGAATTACAAGCACAGACATGTTGTATTATGGTCTACTCCACAATTATGGCTTTCATCTGGAATGATCTAGTCAACATTTGCTTTGACTGGGTAACAAAAGAAATCAGTTCTGCTAGACCACACAAAGTTCATGTTACACACTTTCAAGTATTAAGTTACACAAAACCAGCCTGCTCATTATGTGCAACATAAACCAAACCCCACAGAGTGCCAAGCTGCACTTTTACATGAGAAAAGGAGATTTTTTTGGTCACAATCAAAGTGTAGTTCATTATTTTCCAGTGAATTGCAAAATCCCTGTGAATTTGACAATACACAAAGCACAAGTGGTCAAAGTACCGACACTAATTCTATCCGGAAGATTGAACGCTTTCAAAATGTTTTCTTCTCTTAAGTGTAGACGATAACCAACACACACAGAAACATGTTCATTCAAAGTTATTTTGCATTTATAGTCTATGGTCCGGTAAACTTGTATTGTGTTACATATAAGGGAACTGAGAACTAGTTAGAAATTATCCAATCTATTGGAAGCAGAAGCATCCGAGCTTATTTTTCATTGCAAAGTAGTGAAGTCACACTACAGTGTGGCAGTGTGCAACAGTGGAGTAACTGCATACCTGAGTCACATGAAATACTTTATATGTCTTTTGTTTCTACAGTGTGTCCAGACTCTGATCTGAAACAGTGTTGAGACTGTAAATGAATGCAAACATACTTTTCCACCCTGCAGAAAATTGAACAGGAGTTAATAATGGAATCAATAAAGAATCTGAGTTGTGGCCAAAACTAATCTAAGCATCTGCATTAAAAGAAAAATACTTCTAAAACCTGATTCTAATGTTTAGACTGTTTTAATTTAAAAGCTACAAACTATAACCCCAAATTGACCATTAATGTAACTAAGATTTTGCCTTTCAAATAGTTTCAGTAACTGAACATTTATGAAAATAAGGTTATTTGCAAGATTTATGTCAGATTGTATCTTGAATTTCTAATGTTACCTGTAACTCAGAATGACTAAATAAGAGTATTGGTATGGGGTTTTCTAATATTACACATTTAAATTAAAACGTTGGGGGAGAAAAGTGTTTTCTCCAAGTTGATTGGAAAACTACCAAGATTCTGGTTACTAGTGTTTTCAAAGGCCACCCACAAGCAGGTGTTTTCTTATGTGAGGAGTCAGTGCTGCTTACAAGCCAACGCTAAATACAAAACATGAGTTTATGCGATACACAAGCTTGCTCCAACGTTAGTCAGTTGAGTCATTCCGTTTTAATGTCAGCCTGAGCTGTTATAGCTATAAAAATGCTAATTTTGCAGATTAAAGCTGGTGTATGGCTTGACATACGTTCCGAGTACATACATACTTCGATGTCATTGCGGAAATAAATGAAAAGCGAAACCATAAATCTTAGTTGTTTTGTACAACCGTGCTTTAACTGGTACAAATCCAAGCTATAAACAGTGGGTGAAAATAGTACATGGGAGGAAAAAATGAATGGAGACGGAGCTCTGTCAGCTAGCTGCTTGCCAGCTTGTTAACCCTCAGCTAGCCACCGTGTTATCGCTGGGTTTACGTTACCGTAACAGCAAACGGTGAAACACGAGTCACTCACTAGGTCACCGCTTTCAAATGGAAAGTCGATATATTTCTGCATTATGTGATAAATACATTCACAGTCCGGTCTTTTTGGTGTTTTAATTAAATGAATCCACAGCAGCTTAAAACTGTTAGCAAGGTTAGGTGCTAGCTATGGTTAGCCGAAGGCAGATTCAGATAATAAGATGTTAAAAGCAGCTGCGAACCGCTTTGACAGGGCTCGAAATTATTTTATCACTAAACCCTTACCTTCTGGTTGCGGGATCCTGCCGATGAAGGACGTTATGGTTTCTTCACTCAGTCCCCATATCTGTACCCGTGAAACTCCTCAGAAGCCTTCTGACGTGTCCGTGTCTGGACCACCGTGACCGACTGGTGGTGGCTGCCAGCAGAGAGCTGAAGTTGATGGGACAGGGAGCCGCACAGCGGCGGTGCACTCACACAGCTGGTGGGATACTTTCGGTTTGTCTGTGCCGTACATAAATTCATTCACTACACTTGCAGCCAAAATTACAGCCCCTGCAGTGTATTTAATACTATAACTTATGTACAGTTATTATCATAATAAGGTTTGTATCTAGGTAAAAGTTAACTTTTCTCCCTCCTAACGACCTTTCAGGAACTGGGTTACACACAATGACAACAGGTTCTTTTTATTTGACCATCATCAATCTTTCAAACCCTTTTTTTTTAAATCTTTATTTATTATTAATTGTACTGAGGGCATTTCTGTCAATCAATGAGCTGAAGACGGGAGATTATGGAGAACAAAGGCAACCCTCTCTACAAGCAGGTGCAGTTTTATTGCAAGAGTGCCTTGAAGAGACACAAACATAGATACTGTATTCAGCCTCAGGCCACATGGTACATGAGTGTTTATCACATGGGGGTTTTCTTTATATTGTACCTGAAAAACAACATTCCCACCCACTACCCCCACCCCAGTTCAACGGAATTTCTTCATAGTGTGTGGTGTTCAGAAGTGATTCCAAGTTTTCCAGTTCTGCCTGTACTCCTTTGCGTTCGTACAGTGCGTTAGACACATCAGGTGAACCTGTTCTGATTGCTGTGTACTTGTTTACATGGCATCAGTGCTTTTCAGCTCCACCTCTCCTACAAACAGATGTGATCACTGACTTGTAGCTCGCAAGCTGTACAGACATAACATACACACACAGTTTTAGCCATCATTTCACTTTATAAGTTGATTGCAATAGCTGGTATAAAGTTAATGACATAATATTTTCCTTTTTTTTTGTTTACAGTGGGGAAAACCCAAAGTGATGTGGTCTGAAATGCCTAAAATTACTTAAATGTAAAACTTTAAATGATCAGAATAGAGTGTTTTGCTTTTGGAGGTCTTCAAGCTGTTTTCAAAATAAAATTGTCAAGTCAAATATCCCCCAAACATGACACATCAAGCACAAACTGCAAGCAAACAGTTATTCTGTTTCACATTCATAACCCTATCCTTAATAAGAAATGCCCGAAACTCTTTAACCCATGATTGTTTTTTTTGAATTCATGATTTATTTATTTGCTGTGTTGCACCGGCACATGCCGGGGTAAAATACTTTGGAGACTGCCCTGTTGTTAATCTTCCTTGTGTCATTACGCTGTGTCATCCTTTAGTCTTTCTTCTCCTCCTTGCTCTCCTCTTCCTCTGGGTTGTACACGCTGACAGTGAATTCGCCGGCCTCTGTGCCATACTTGTTCTTCACCACAAGGGCGTATTTGCCAGAGTCAGCCGTGGAGACGGCGGCGATTGTGATACTGGCGAACTTGTTATGCTCAAACTTGAGTTTGTAGTGGTCGTCAGATACCAGCACCTTTTCGTTCTTCGTCCAGGACACCTCAGGTACAGGCTCGCCCCAAACGTTGCCAGTTAGGTTCAGGGACTAACGAGTAAATATAAGTTGGCAGGTGATTGATGGGTGTCACACATATGCAACAAGAGAGCTTATCAGATTTTAGAGGTAAGACACACTCATAGAATAACACAAACTAAGAGAGAACAGAAAGAATAAGAGAGTGACACTCTTCATGAATAGAGTGAAAAATTGTTTATTTACCTTGCCCTCTTGGATTGCAACCACATCTGGCAAGCCTCCAACAACACGAGCACGGTCTAAACAGGAAATACAGGTGCAAGTGTCAAACATCAAGGGGAGCTCGTGAGCATTATACTCACCAATGCTGCATTTTTCAGTGGTGTAGTGAAGTGTGTTTTAGCTGGAAATTTCCTTTGTTCACTTTCATATTTCAGCTACAGAGGAGATCTATCCTTTAACCACGCTATATCCAAGTTAAAAGTTAAGCGATATCCCAAAAGATGTTACATAATTTCATAGAGTGGTGTCCCTCGGGAGAAACCAGAGAATAAATAGGCACTTACTTCTCTCAGCGATTGCTGCAGCTCTAAGGGAGGAAGGAAGGACACAGACATTGTCAGAAGCTTTCTAAAATGGTATCGTAGTTATTTCTAAGTATGTTCACTACCGGCAAATGTATTTTGAGTGCATCCAAAACAGCCCTCATGTCTATTTTGAGTTTGTGATGGCTGCTGCTCTTTATTTCTGTAAACATCCTCTTCAGACAGAAAAGCTGAATTACACAAAAGAAGGATGGAGTCAGATGAGTTTGTTTACTTACTTGAGCCTTTGGAATTCTTCAAATGCCTCTTCCCATGCTGCACCAGGACAAATCACCAATCATAATTTAGTTACATAAGCACAAAAGATAGACAAAGTTAACAGGATGTGGTTCTTTCTGCGCCTGAAGCGTCTTGCTCCTTTTGACTTTAAAACTTTTACCCACCCTGGCCAGTCAGATCAAAGGCTCTCTTTACACCGTCCTTGCCATCAAAGATGTCCATGCTGTATTTGCCCTTGTCCTTCTCAGTAGGCTCATTGATCTTAAGCCAAAGCTGGTCTCCTGTGACTCCGGACTTAACTCTCTCTGAAGCAGCAATTTTGCCGTCTCTGGTGAAGGAATCAAGAACACAGACATCAAACAATGCCTGACTCCTAATTTATTGAAATGAAAATGTATACAATCCAGTACACCAAGGAATATGACTCAAGTACGGAGCAATACTTGCAGCAGACACTTCAATCTTGCATAATAATCCCTGTTTTGTTTTGTTATTTAAATGTCACATGTGGCAAGATTTTATCCCCATCTATACATATATAATCATGTACATCAACAAGAGAGCTGATGGTTTTAGCCATTTTTTTTACTGTTTCATTTTCAATTTGATTTTCGAATGGCACAATATTACCTCATGTTGTGTACTGCAGGTCTCAGATATGCAAAAAGTGTTGCCATAGTGCACAGACCAGCTTTGAAGGTCTTATACAAAAAACAGTACCATGACTACTATTGTGATATTTTACACAAGTAGTAATGACAACTACAGTACAAAAAAGCAGAGAAGTGTTAAAGAATTTCATGAAAGCAATTAATTTAACTGTTACAATATGTAGATGAATGCTGGAAGAGATATATATGGATGGCTAGATTAATGTTAATTCTAAAAGCAATAGGTAATACAGAGAAATTAGTTGAAATAGCTGAAATTATGAATAAATATTACGCTAAATGTAATTGGCTTAGCTAACTATGGCATGGAGACTATGTTAACCAAACTTTACAGATTTTAATTGAAACAATATTTAAATAAAGTGAACATTTCTGAAACGTGACATGGTGTCAATAAAGTGGTACTTGCAGTGCTTATTTGACTGGTCGGTGTGGTTACATTTGTTACGAAAACTCGACTTTGTTCTGGGGGAGAAATAATAGTTCACGAGTTGCAGATAAGCATACAATTAATATCAACTAACATCAAGTACAACAGGTGAACCCATTTTACAGCAGTCATCCAATTCTCAAATTCTAATCTCACAACGTTTCAGATTGTTGTAGTTACAATCGGAAAATTGTAACTACAACAATTTTCAGATGTGGAAATACATCTCCTCACTATCAGCAGCTTGGCTGTCCTTAAGCCTCTAATAAAAGAAAAAACATGCAGCTGACTGTGAGACAGCTTTATCTTCTTTCCTTTCATGCAGGATTCTCCACAGTATCTCACACAAAAGGAATTAATGAAGGAAGCCCTAGAGCACCTTTCCTAAGGATTTAGAGAATTCAGCCAGGTCTTGTTATGGCTGTCTTGCAGCTCCTTCCGCATCACTTCCCCCAGTGAGGATTATGGACAGTATAAAAGATAGATGTAGCTGCTGGGTCGGAAAAGCAAAGCCAACTGTGGAAGTGCTTTTAATATCCATTCTTTTTAATAGCCACCAGGGGGCAACCCTGGTGGCTACAAAAGGACAGCTGTACTGTACAGTTCCACTTAAGCCTGAAGGGCAGCACAGTAGTTAGTATTGGCACCTCACAGCAAGAAGGTCCTGGGTTTGAATCCAGTCTGCGCCAAGATGGTGATGGTGAGAACATTTAGCTTGAGGTTTTATATGCAAAACCACTTTTTCAGTTCTGCCCACAAAGAGACTTTACCGCACAGATCCTTCCGATACAAAAAAAATCAGTTCAAACATCTGTTGTCTGTTTCAAATTGTGTTTATGTTTTGAGGTAGTTTTGCCTATTTTTTAATGACTTATTTTGTCTTTATGTAAAAATTATTAGCAAAAATTCTGCAGATAAAAATGTTGTTTTTTGAATTTACTCGAATGATGGATGAGAGGTGAAACGTCTTCAAGCAACTTAAAGAAGTCCAGACGCTTTTCTTTCCAAGCTCCTTAGAATGAACTTGAATCATTTACACATGCATTTATCACGCACTAAGAGGTTTACCTCATAATTTCATGTACAGACTGTATGGTTATAAGCAACATTTTACAATGCTGGTCAGATAATTTTGCACAGTGTCGATAACAGTTTGACATCAATCTAATTGGACACCTCTGAGAGTCAAGGTCAAAGACTGTTATCAGCTGCATTTGATTTTAAATGTAGCTTCATGATAGTATTGCTTTGTGTATTTTATAAGTGAATGAGTCTTAAAATAAAATAAAAGATTGCAAACCAGGACAATTTCACATACTTGTGGAGCCAACCAACACGCAGGTCCTCATGGTAATATGTGACCGTGGAGTAGAGGACGATGCCATGCTCGGTACTGAGAACTTTGATTTCGCTGGAAGAGTTAGCTGTAGGGAGAAAAGAGCAAAGACAGGCACTTATTTGCATCTCTTGGAGCTAATATCGGATAATGGTATGCAGTAAAGCATGAAATATTTAGATGTTAATTGTTCGTTCTCAGGAAAAATACTTTGAATAGGCACATTCTGCTTCTTTCTGTGGGCCTCTTTAGTGCGTGGTCTATGTGTTGTGCTTCATTACTGCCTGGTAAGTGTGAATTTTAATGACTCACCAATAACCCTGAACAGCTCATTCATTACAGCTTGGTATCCTGGGGAAAAGCATGACGACAGCAATTAATGTCACATTCGCTGATATTACTTTTGCTTTTCCGCAGCACTCATTTCCACTTTTCCACTTGATTTTCAGCTCCTAAAATTTCTGAGGGAGACTACCTGCATCTGTCAGACTGAAGGTGCTCTTATCTTTGCCTCTCTCATCCCTCAGGAAGACCTCGTAAACACCCGCGTCGTGCTTGGAGATCTAAGATTCAAATTAAAAGTCGCATAAGTATCCTTGAAGCAATAATGAAATCCCCTTAACCTCAAAGTGAGGGGAGTGCAATATTATTTTTGGGACAGATAAAAGACAATCAAATAGCCAGACAGGGACCAAGTAAACCGAAAAGGCAAGCTTTTCTCCCGCCCGTGATGCTGCAGGCGTTAAAGGGAAAACATGGAAAGGACAGAGAAAAACATGGATATGGGAAGACAAGGAGGACACATGGAGAAATCAGGTATCAACTTATGGCAGAAAGATTATGTCCAGACTTTAGGTCTTGGTGGCGGGGGAACGTCCTCTGCAGGTGGTTTTCTCTTTTTTTCTTTCTGTTTCTCTTGCTTAATAACCCACTGTGAATTAGACAGATAAGCCAGTTATTGCAAATGCAGCTGACAGGAGCTCATGCAATGACACCGACCCTCTTCTAATGAGTAATGCTTACACAGTCTCAATGAAATATCAATGTAGCTTCCCTGGCACTGGGCCCTTAGTGTCAAACCAGATCAAAATTCTATCAAAAAGAGTTTTTTTCTTTTCTTTTTTGTGCGTGTAAGGTTGCCAGAGAAGTTATATTGATTATTGTTAGAATGAAATGAATGAGTTAAAAGCGCATGACATGTACAATGGAATTAAGTGGGTATAAATACGATCGCCGAGTCTCCAAGTATGAAAATTCAGAGAAAGCATTAATTGTAGCAGTTTCGGTACCCACTGCATCTATTCAGATCCCCACAGGGAACACGCTAATGTGCTGACTCCACCACTCTACTACAACCTGGGAAGGTGAATATTTTCCATAGTGTTTCATCATTTATGAATGTATGTGTCAGAGAGGGCTGGTAGACAGCGCAGCAGCTGGTAAGGCTGTACAATGGAAGCAGAGCTGCATCAGCACTCCTGATAGCTCTTTACTCATAAGCTCACAACTCCTCGCAACATACGGCCCCCATCTAATGGCTGACCTTTCCAATATTAAAGGTCAGCTCGCCGTCCTGCCTCTCGATTTTCTTAGCATCCTCATCATCCTCTGCAATCTCAATGCAGTCCTTAGACCAAGTGATCTCAGTCTCTGGTCTGACATTTCCAATCTATGAAACAAAGAGAGAGACAGGAAGGAGTCGCTTTACCTATGTGCTCCACCTCTGAAGAAATATCAACAGCGCTGTAATTATTCACATTCGTTTCTATTACCTTGCATTTCAGCAGTACATCACATTCAGGGGTAACACTGAAGTCAAGGTACTCGACAAAGTGAGGACCTGAAAATAAATGGAATGATTACACAAAAAAAATTAGTTGTTTAATTATCATTAGGCTTACGTGAAAGAGGCGTGAGATTTCTTACCTTGTTTCCTGACCCATTCTGCCCTCGCAAATTCTGACTTCTTTTGAAGCTCCCTGAATTCTGGACAAAGAGAAACATAAATGCTAAAAAACAGATTAAACCCTTATTTTTCACTTCATTCACTCACAAGTGTATTAGAAAATGCGTGCCATAACAAAATGAAAAGGGACAACTGTAAGTAAACGTTGCCTTCTGCTGCCCCTCAATGGATACATAATTAAACTGCAGCACTGGCGATACACCTAGCAGACTGGGAGAAGTCTATATTTACACTGACATTTGCATTGTGTATTTTTACAGCCTTCATTTTCATGCTGTTCTCTTGACTTCGTCTTAACTGCTCAGTACTTTTATGCCATTTTGTCAGTCCTTAAAGTTATAAGTTAGGCTAATCCAAGTTATTATTATATCAAAATGGAAGTCAAAACTGTATTAGCCATTAAAGCTGCTTACCATCTCCAATTAGCACCAGACTGGTTGTACCCTTAGCTTTGCCATCCACCAGGTTAAAGGTGAACGTCCCCTCATCTGTGACTTCCAAAGAGTCCATGAACATTTCAATAATACCGCTGGACTTGTCGAAGTTCATTATGTATTTCTGAAAACAGTGAGGCAAACAGAAAACCTCTGATTCATCAGCAGTAAGGTTACGTTCGATTTAAAACTGGGGGGGGGAGGTGTCGGCATTATTATTGCAGCATTATTCCTACCTTTCCCTGAGAAATGATAACATCGTTGAAGACATACTCCACTTGGCAGTCAGAAGTGCATTTCTCCACCTGAGTCCAGAATCGCACGCGACCCTTCTCGAGCAGCTCCATAGCCATTTCATTCTTAAAGGGAATAACTAGAGAGCACCAGATTTATTAAAGCTCTTGCAGAACAACTTCTATTTTCTTTAGGATTGCATGTAGGTATAGATGTAGGGCATAAAGTCACAGTGGGTATCAGCAATAACAGAGTTAAAAACAGGCTTGTAGGCTGCATTTGTTTGAGAAAACAAATCATTTTCAAACCATATTTAAACCAACATCTACATTTATTACTAAATAAAACTGAAATTCTGGTCTTGGTAACATCTGCGCTTTGTCCCAATATTCACCAGGGAACTTGTGATCATGGCTGATGTCCAGAAGACGCTTGAGACCTGTCAATTAAGAAAAGAACAACAAAATGGATGAATGTCATGACCTCTGTAAACCGACAGAAGTACTGCACCATGTAATCTGAGACAGCCTTCAAAGGGCGTCTCACCCTCCTCAGTGAGCGTGTAGCTGGAGGAAATGCCGTCAGTGTTGGTGACTACACAGGAGAAGGTACCCAGATCCTCCAGAGAGGGACTGTTGAAGATAGCTCTGGATCTGCAGATGATGACACAGCAAGGGAGGAGAGTGGGGACATTTTTTCTCTTTTTAGCTGATATCATCTGGTGACATGGATTCTAATGCTGGGGGAAAATGTTGGTAGTGAACATTTCCCCTTGTGGGACAATTAAAGGATTATTCTATTCTATTCTATTCTATTCTATTCTATTCTATTCTATTCTATTCTATTCTATTCTATTCTATTCATTAGTGGTACATAATGTGTACTTACTTTCCCCGTTCACTGATAATAGTCAGACGAGAGGTGTCTGTGATCTCTTTGTAGTTCTTGGACCAAACAAACTCAGAGCCCTCCATCATCTCAGAGCACTCAAAGACCATGGAAATCACACCGTCATCATCAACATCCACGTAAATCTCTTTGGTGCCTAAGGGAGAGATATTAAATGGTGAGAGGATCCCCGATATTAGTATTTTCAGTCCTCAAACTCAGAATTTTAGTCATTAAAAGAGTAAATCATCAAAATAAAAAGCCTGGCCATCAGTGTAGAACTGCAAAATAATGTCAAGTCATGTGTGAGGACACATTTTCCACATTTATTTAAGACTGGATAGGAACACTCTGTGACTGACTGCATCAGTTACATAACAGTCTCACTCACCAGGGCGAGTCTGGGCCAGGATTGGACCTAAGACTGCAGAGGGCTTTCCAACTCCAGCAAGATTTTGAGCACGCACGTGGAACACATAGGATGCGCCACCTTTCAGTCCAGTCACCTGATTTAGCACATAACAGGTAGGGGTAAGAAAGAGTCCAACCACCAACGAGTAAAACTAGTATTTCACACGTCGTATTTGACATTAAGATATTAATGAACCAATTTTGTTCAAACTGAATTATATGCATCTTCCTCACCTTCATGTATTTCATCTTGTTGACCTTTTCATGAACACCTTTCCAGCATTCCTCACCAGCAGAGGCCTCCTTGACGTCCAAGTAGTAGCCATTGACAGGCGAGCGACCATCAAACACCGGTGGCTCCCACAGGACCACCACAGAGGTGTCACGGACCTCCAGTACATGAAGACCAACAGGAACACCTTAAAGATAAAAGTGTTTAAATAATTAATATCAGGGGCTCAGGTCTAATTATATAGGCAAAAACCTGGCTTAGCACCAAATTATAATGCTGAGAACTGAAAGCAATATAAAGTGATTTAACTGACTGTTGTCTAAGCAATTTTGCATCAGTCTCTGTCTTGTAAAACATTGGACATAGCACAACTAAAAAAAAAAACCTTCCAGATAAGCATTTCTGCTAGATAAAGAGAATAGTACTTTTAATCAGTGTGGCTGCTCTTAAAAGTACGCTGAAGTTACCCAGAAAATATAAATATTTTGTCCTAGATATCTGGTAGCATATGATATGGATGTTTTTTCACTTAATTGTAGTGTGTGACAGTGTGTGATTATTAGTTATCATTTCCACATTATTCTTGGTCAGGTCACTGATTAAAAATGCTTTAACTTTTAGTAACCCCCTTACATAAGTTTTTCCTTTCAGTGGATAGTCAGTTATTGGTTTAACCCCTCTGTTACTAATATCTACCAGCTCAATTTTCTGTGTTTCGGTGAACATGTGGTCAGTGATACCTGGGACAGTAATGGTCCATTCTTTGCACTCCAGAGGTGCACTGGGCAGAGAGGGTTTACTCACACCAGCCATGTTCACTGCTCGGACTTGAAACTGATAAAAGAGCCTCTCCTTCAGGTTCTCCGCCTAAAAGAAACAAATGCAAATAGTTAGAGACTAAAAAGTGCCTGCCAGCTTCATTACATGCAGTGATAACATTTTATGTTTTATGAATGTGAGGCTGAAGGAACTTGAAGCTTACTTTATAGGTAGTTGTAGTCAGTGCCTGGTGGTTCATTTCATGCCATTTTCCAGCAACGCCTCCCTTTACAGTTCTGTAGTCCACAAAATAGCCCCTGATGTCAGCTCCTCCGTTGTTAGCAGGCGCGTTCCAGCCCAGGACCATGTAGTCCTTGAAGGCCTCCTGCAGGGTCACACCGGTGGGCTTACCAGGTACGGCTGTGATGAGAGTAAACAGGCCGGTCAGTTTTAATTGTGAGAAAAAATGTGAGTAAGCGAGTCAAAACAGTTAACACTGAAATATTAAAACCCAAATTATTACATGGAAAATTAATAATTGCACACAATTTCATACAGACTAGCATTAGCCAAGTATCATACAGGTGTTAGTGGTAATCAGTGTTAAAATATCATGTTAGCTGCGATGGTACAGATGAACATCATACATGCAGCTGCATTACACACACAAGAAACACACATTTGTTATTTAGTATCACAATAATGGAAAAAGAAATACTTACACTAAACGCAAGCAGCTGTGAAACTTTCACACTAAGAAATTCTTCAAAGCCAGAACTCATTAAGATCATGCTCTTTAAGAACACAATAGTTTAGTCTTCATCTTGGCGAGGCACTAACAGGCACCCCTAAAGAGTTATCAAACAGCAGAACTCAAGCAAAATTAAACTTACATGCTTAAACCCTCAAACCCTTCACACGAATTAGAAACATTGTAAAACATGACCTGACTGGTTTAACCAAGCCACAAAAAATATGTAAATACAAAAGTTAAAGGATGGGAAAGTTACCAAATATAGTGGTAGCAATGAGACTGTCATGCAGGCACATGCAAGTTATCAACTGCACTTTTATAAACATATAATTCATAACCTTTAATAACTCATCCAAGGGACTTCTTCAGTCTCAGCTGACTGCAGGTTTCCCCCGAGAGTACAAGAGTCTCTTTGTACAGTACTCATGGCCACTGAGTAATGGTCATAGCAGATCATGAAACTGAGCTTATGCCTTGTTTTCAGGTAACAGTGCTAGTTTTGGTCATATTGCAAATGTACTGCTTATAATGTAGGGGAAACCTGCAGTCAGCTGAGTCATTTGGATAAGTGATGAAATGTTTTTCCCACTGAAAATGTTGCGTTCCGATGGACAGAATCAACTTTCTGGGATTTTCTTATTAAACAGGCATCAAGACATAACTCATTAACACATGAGATTTACAGGCAAATATCTGGTAGATTAATTGTATGAGAATAAAATCTCAGCAAGTAAATAAAAAAACATAAAGAGGATTTTGAGTTAGGAGTGGTGAAAGACTATACGTGGATAAGGGGGGACAAAGGGGGAAATGAACTGAATACTGCGGGCAAAGTGAACAATGAGAAAGAATTATGACACTTACAGATGGCAGCCTGTACAACTACAGCGTCAGAATTGGGGGAGCTCTGGCTGTATCCAGCAGCATTTACTGCCTTCACTTTAAACAGGTAGTTTGAACCAGTAATCAGGCCATGACACACAAACCTAAACGGAAAAAAGAGATTCTCTGCATTTCACTCATTTCTATGAACAATCTATGACAGCATTAGTATTAATCAATAGGTGGGATCTTTTGTAATATCACAAAAGGTTGATTTTGATACAAAATACTTTAAGCCATTCAAGTTACATTGCTTTTTTTAAAAAAACAAAAACAAAACAATAACAAACTCGAAGTCAGGACCTTCTTGCTAAATCCAGATTAAAAACCTATTTTTATTTGCTGGCCTTTGACCTCAGTGGGTAACTTACCTTTTTTACTATTTCTTTTATTTATATTTTATTGTTATTACTACTATGATGACGATGATGATGATGATAAACAGCTCTCTGAAGGTCCTGCCACATCACTTCACTCAGGTTGAGGTCTGGACTTTAACTGGGCCATTGCAACACCTTGATTCTTTGTTTACCACTGGGATCATCCTGTTGCATGACTCAATTTCAGCCAAGCTTTAACTCAGTGACTGCAAGGTGCTCAGGTCTGTGGGTACAAATCCAACCTAAATCATTAAACCTCCAACATATTAAGAGTTGGGATAATTAGTTTATTCTGGCACCATGTGCTTGGTTTTCTAGAGATGTGGAGCTCTGCATTTATGGTCAAACATCTCCACTTAGGTTCATCAGTCCAAAGGAGATTGTTTTTTTTCCAAAGTAGTCTTGTGGTTTGTTCAGATGCAATACATCTAAGCCATGCTGCCATGTTCTTTTTGGAGAGAAGAGGCTTGCAACCCTTTCAAACAAGCCATACTTGCTCATCCTTTTTCTAGTGATACTATCATAAACTTTAACGTTTAATATGGAAACTTAGACATATAGGGTTTGAGATGTAGCTCTGGAGTGATTGTGCTGGATATCCACTCCTGGAAAGATTGTAGCATTGTCTTAACACACACCTGAATGCTTCAGATCAGTAAACTGGCAAAACATCTGCTTTTATAGAGATGGTTACACTTTCTCATGTTCAGTTAATCAAGTGCATTTTATTAGCAGCACTTGACTGCTACTTATCCTCTTAAGTCCTGTGGAAGTATTATAAAAAAGACATAAAAAGATGACATATTTACATGGCAAAATCAGTATCCTCCATGTCTTAGAGCATGCATTAATTGCACCTTTAAACCTGCCCACCTGGTCTGCCTAACAGGCTTATTGTTGCAAGGCATCCAGACATCTGTGCCCACCACACTGCATTCAATATAGTAGCCCACCAAGTGTTGCACATCCTTGGAGGCCCCCCAGGAAACCACCACAGATGTGTCAGTGTTCCTGGTGGCAACCGGGTTGCCTGGAGCTGATGGTAGGTCTGTTAGAGGAAAAGGAAAACACAGAACATCCTATAATGCAGAAAGGCGCTGCAGCAGACTGTAAAATAAACCAGTGACATTGTGATTTTAGAGCTACTATTATTCAGTCCTGAGCAGGTCTTTTTATATGCAGCATTAGTTTTGACACACTTGGTTTGCCAGCTCACCCAGTTTATCTCCAACTATGACTTCTCCTGTGGATTCAGAGGCTTCACCCACGCCGGCAGAGTTGCAGCAGCGTACACGGAAGCTGTAAGATTTACCCTCCGCCAGGTCAAACAGGGCAAAGCGAGGAGATTTGACTGGCATACCAGTGTTCACCCTCTGCCAGGTGTCAGTGCCAGAAATACGCTGCAGTTGACAAAGAACCAGAGAAATGTTAGAGACTGAAACAGATATGAAATTTGACTATATGAAACAGGTGAGGTATGATTATTTATATAATGTACCCATATGCTTGCTTTCACATATCACTATTCTAATAATAAGTCTGTAGGTCTTTGTCATTGTATTTGTTTAGAGACAAATTATGGGGAATTCAGGTAAAATATAAACATCATTTTGTTTTCAGTTTTCTTTTGCATTATTGTTTGTTTTGCATAATGCACTGTATGACCAAAGGAAATCAATTAGAAACGAGCATTTTTACACTGGTGTATTTACTGTGGAGCTTTCATTTTGCATTGTCTCTGCAAAATATGTTGACCCCTGACATTTACAAGTTAAATTGTTGTAGCTATCAGCAGTAAATAGTTTAAGAGCGTCAAAGGAGAAGAGTTAAGACTTAGTTAAGTGATTAGAAACTTTGTTTTATTTGCCATAATCATTTTAAATATAACAAACGATATAACTGATTCTTCTCATCAGTCCAGTAGTTTGACTCATATGGCTATATATATATATATATATATATATATATATATATATCATACTATATATGTATTATATTCTCTTTCTCATCAGTCAGTAGTTTGAACTCATAGTATTACACAAATATAAGATCAAACTAGAAATTCGCTATATATTATATACTGGGTTATTTATATATATTATATATATATATATATAAATATTTAAGTTAATTATCTAGTATATATATCATATATATATATATATATATATATAATACATATGAATAGGGGTGCAACGATATTCGTATCGATATTGAACCGTTCGATACAGTGCTTTCGGTTCGGTACGCATATGTATCGAACAATACAAAATTTGTAATTTATTTTATCAACTTTCCTTCTGACGAATGCTGTCTGTGTTGAGCGCTCAGTGAATCTGCGTTCGACTACTCCGCCTAGGCTGCACTGTCAAGCGCAGATCCACTGAGCGCTTCAACACAGACAGCATTCCAGAAGGAAGAGCGCAGGGCAAGCTAGCGAGACAGAAGTTAAGCTCTCCTTGCAACATGGCAAATTGAACCTCCACTCTCAGATCTGGCGTTTGGAATTATTTTGGTTTTCATGTGACGTATGACCCTGAAGGTAAGCGACGTCATGGACTAAAGTAAAACAGTATGTTGGATGTGCCACGCAATGCTCAATTACATGGGTGGGAACTAGTGTGTTAGCGCAGTTAGCTCGTTAACGTGTTGGCCGTCTAGCCCCACGCACGGGGCGATCAGGGGTAGCTCGTTAACGGTGCCGTTGGCGTTACGTTTCAACGAGTTTAACGCTGACAGCACTAGTGGGAACACAACGAATATGACTGCACATTGCCGACATCATCCTAGTGCAAAGACAAGTGGAAGCAGACAAAAACAACAAGCACAATGCATGCTACAAACTTTACCCGAGTCATTTAGACAGCCGTTAGCACATGATTCTCCTTATGGGGACCTGATATGTTTAATATTGTGGCGAGCTCAGACAAGGAGGAGACGGAGGTGATCGTTTGGTCTTGCTTCCCGTGAGCTAGCCAGGGAGCACAGCCGTTTATTGACATCTGCAGAAGAACACTGCCGCTAGCTAACTGCTCAGCGCGGCAACCGCACAGCAACAACAACAACACACAGGGCGCCCTCTGACCCCGGAAGGACACACCGTCGCAGCGAGAGGGCGTCACCCGTCACTATGGCAACATAAACAAAACATAACTGTACAAACAGAACCCCGAACAGCCCTGACCCGCTACAATATGCTGCTGAGAATATAGCCCAGAAGAAGGTATAGTATAGCTTTTATTTTGGAAAGAGCCATTTCTCTGTAATAAACTCTCTTTTCCAAAGATGAGTGATTCCTCAATCAGATACAGGGCTTGCAAAATCGCTAGCCCGACGTCCCGGGCTAGCGATTTTTCCAGTCGGGCTACCAAAATCTATCTCTGCCCTGCCCGTCGGGCTATTGTAGGAAGGAAAAATATATGTCAATGCTTTTGCATTCTTTCAGGAAATGTAGCTGGGTAATTATGTCATTGGCATCGGTGAGCCACTGTCAATATGTGACATATTGAAATCGCGTTTGAATTTGCGCTTGTTTTTTTGCTTTCACTTTGCAATCGCGAACTGTGTATAGAGAGCGACAGCACTGATTGTGAGTGATGATAATTTGCGCACCAATTCCTCTGACATCGTCTTATAATCGTTAGCTTACTTGCA